TCCACACAACTCAATGGTAAGAAAACATGAAAACATGTAACCCAATTAAACAATAGGCAAAGGACTTGAACAGATGTTTCTCAAAAAATGACCTAAAAATGGCCAGCAGGTACGTGAAAGATGCTCAAAATCACTAATCACCAGGAAAATACAAATTAAAACCACAGTGAGATACCACCTCACACCTCTTAGAATAGCCATTATCAAAAAGACCAGAGAAAAATGTTAGTAAGGGTGCAGAGAACATGGAGTCCTTGCACACGGTGGTGGAAATGTAGATTGGTGCAGCCGTTATGGTCGACAGTATGGAGGTTCCTCAAAAGTTAAAACTAGAACTACCATATGATCCAGCAATCTCTTAATAGTTACCCCAAAAAAATAAAATCAGAAACTCTATGAGATGATTGCACTGTCATAATCATTACAACATTATGCACAATAGCCAAGATATGAAAACAAAGTAGATATTCATCAATGGATAAGTGAATAAATAAATTGTGAAAAAAATTATAAAAATAAATGTTTACATTTATATATAAAAATAAATACATACTTTATATTTGTATATATACATATATACATTTGTGTGTATATACAAATATATACATATATAAATACATATATGTTGTATTTATATATGTGTACACATACATATATGTATTTATGTATGGAATATAATCCATTTTATATGTATAAATATAATATACATATATGCATTCATATACATATGTATATTTGTATATTTAAAATGGAATACTATTCAGCCTTAAAATAAGGAGATTCTGCCATTTGCCACAACACTGATGATTTAGAAGACACTGTACTAAATAAAATAATTCAGACACAGAAAGAAAAAATATTGCATGATCTACTTATATGTGAAATATAAAAATAAAAAGGTCAAATATACAGAAATAGAAAATAAAACAGGAGTTATCAGGGACAGACTAAGGGGACGAAATGGGAGATGTTGATCAAAAGATACAAAGTGAGCCAAAAGATGTAATGTACCGCATAAGAACCACAGTTAATAATTGTATATTGTATTCAGGATTGCTAATAAATGAATACAGCTTCTACTGCCACAGAGGAAATAAAATGGGTAACTATTTGAGATGATAGATATGTCAATTTGTGAACCACAGTAACTATTTTCCTGTATAGTTGTTTCTATTTATCCACAGGGTACTGGTTCCAGGACATTTTGTGAATATCAAAATTTACAGATAGATTACTCAAGTTCCTATATATAAAATTGCATGGTGTTTGCATATAACCAGCACATGTTCTTCCATATACTTTAAATCATCTCTAGATTACTTACAATACTTCATACAATATAAATGCAATGTAAATCATTGTGATACTGTTTTTTATTTGTAGTTTTTATTGTTACATTGCTTTATAAATTTTTATTTTCAAATATTTTTAATCCACAGTTGTTAAAATCTGCAGATGCAGAAACTGCAAACACCGAAGGCCAACTGTATGTATATATCTTATGACATCATGCTGTATACTTTAAATATCTGTTTTCATTTTGTTTAAAATTTAAAGAACAAAAATAAATAAACAAAATATAAGTCACTTGGGCTAGTCTAGGCTCTTTGCTTTTTCTTAATTTTAGTTCATGTCCTTTGCAGGGACATAGATGAAACTGGAAATCATCATTCTCAGCAAACTGACACAAGAACAGAAAACCAAACACTGCATGTTCTTACTTATAGTGGGTATTGAACAATGAGAGCACATGGATACAGGGAGGGGAACATCACACACCAGGGCCTGGGGGCTTGGGGGCCAGGGGAGGAATAGCAGGGGGTGGGAGGATTGGGGAGGGACAGCATTAGGAGAAATACCTAATGTAGATGACGGGATGAAGGATCCAGCATACCACCACCATGGCACATGTATACCTATGTAACAAACCTGCATGATCTGCACATGTGCCCCAGAACTTAAAGTATAATAAATAAATTTCTTTAAAATTATCTGTTAAAAATTAAAATAGAGAAATTTAATTTTTAAATTAAAAAGAATATAATGAGAAACCAAAACCTATTTTTTGGTATTTTTCAGACACCAATTTTTTTTTAATACAAAATTTAAAAGCCATTGTTTATCTTAAGCACATTTTGGAATATTTCTGTTTTAGATGAGACATATTAATTTTTTCTACATCTCAGTTTTTATTTAAATTAACATAAAATATTACGACTTCCTAATAGCCTAAAAATATCAAGATATCTGATTTTTATTTTTGTAAACACCAAGTGCCTATCTGAGCATTAGTTTTGCGGGCAAATTAGATTTTTTCCAAGATACTTAAGGTCTTTCCCTGTTCTAAAAATCAATAATCAATTGATATGAAATACATGAGACATTTTGCTGAAACTTCATTGTTCTTACCAGAGTAACATCTTTACCACTTCTCCAAAGATACACACCCACTTACGAACTATATCTTCCCATCACCTGCTTTTAATAGCTTTTAATAGTAGAACGTGATAGGAATAATGATGTGTGACCTCCAAGGTCAGATAATAAGAAATCATAGCTTCCATCTGGGTATATGGAAACACTCGCTCTGTGGAAGTCAGCCACCATGTAAGTAGTTTTACTACCTACAATAAGACTATCATGTTGTGAAGAGGTCAAAGCGTATCATGTTGAAGGCTTGGACCTCTTCACAACATACAAATCAAAAGACAGTCAGCTAACTTCCAGCTCTTTCGGCTGTATCAGTTGAAGACCAGTCTTGAGAATGAAGATGCCGTTATGAATATCCATCTTGACTTGGTGTTTAGTGTTTTGTTTTATGTTATTTTGTTCTGTTTGTTTTTGAGAGTCTCACTTTGTTGCCCAGGCTGGAGTGCAGTGCTGCCATGGATCTTGGCTCACTGCAACCTCTGCCTCCCAGCTTGAAGCAATTCTCCTGCCTCAGCCTCCCAAGTAACTGGATTACAGATGCTTGCCACTACCCTAGCTAATTTTTTTATTTTTAATAGAGATACAGTTCCACCATACTGGTCAGGCTGGTCTCGAACTCCTAACCTCAAGTGATCAGCCCTCCTCAGCCTCCCAAAGTGCTAAGATTACAGGTGTGAGCCACTGCATCCAGCCCCTCATTAGTTTTTTAAGATGACTCTTGCTGCAGCTACCGTCTTACTGCAGCTATATGACAGATCTGAGCCCAAGCCACCTACTGTGAGAAATAGAAGTAACTAAGATTTGGGAGGTGATTTGTTATACAGCAATAGATAAACAAATGCTAACTACATTTGTAGTTATATGTAGTTGTGTGAAGTATATCTATGTCAGCCTTTAAAATCTGTGTTTGCCATTAAAATCTCTTAACTATCATATTGATAACATTTTCCTCTCATATAATGATCTTCTTAAATTTTTTTCTACTAATGGTGAAAAATACCTCATATTTTGAAAGATAAGATATATAAAAAGATGCCCAGCTAGGAAATAAATATCCTGTACAAATATATCACAAAATCTACTTTCTAATCCTTATTTCACACAGTTGTTGTTTTTATGACTGGAAGCAAGTCTTTGCATACCTTTTGCAAACCTCATTGTACAGAGTTTGTGTAATTGTAGAAGAGTTTACTGCATTGAAATATTTAATAATGCCAAGAAGCAACAACAAAACTAGGAATTGAAAAAAAACTGTAGATTCCACTATGAAAGAAAGATTTTAAAAGAAAATGTTAAGTAGTCTGTTAATTCCAGAATTTTATTATGACCTACTTGATACTTGTAAAGCTTATCTTTTTTTAATCAGCCATTTCTTCATTTTAAAAAAATGCTAAAAATATGACCTTACGTTTATCTCAAATGTTAATGTCACATTTAATTACATAGATAAGAAGTTATATCTGATTCTGTGCTTAATATTAAAATTCTTATCTAAGTAAAGGCGATAAGAAAAAATAGCATGTTTTTCTAGTGCTGTATTGTGCACGTTTAATTAAGACCAACTCCACTAAATCCTGTCCTCTCTTGCTGATCCCATACCCCTCAGGAAATAAAGGCAAGGTCTGACTTCTGTGGAGGATGGTCAGTTTGACATTAAAGAGAATGGAGAATTGCATTATTTTCAAACGAACAATCAAACAAATAAAAACACTGTCCAGAAAATGGCCAGAGCAGAGTGTTGACGCTAATAACATGCCTACAATTTTTCCTGGGCCTGGTTTGCTAGATTTTTAAGACTCACCTTTCTTTGTCACCATCAATTTCTTGGGAAAATAATAAAAATGTCTAGACTCCAAAATATATACTGTTTTGGTATGATGATGCAAGTGAGGGTTTGGATTTTAAATAGCATTATTAATTGGATAGGATGAAGTGATGGTGAGTAGACTGGAGGATCATATCTGTGACTGGCTTATAAAATCCAGAAGTATGACCTGTTAGTCTCTCAAAGACAAGGGCTGGGATTCCTCTGAGGCATATGCATTATAGTAAAAAGCATATTAAACATCTTAATATTAAAAATCCCACCTTCCAGCACAGTGTCTCTAATAATACTGAGTGCTGGGGAACACTCCTGAAACAAACGTTTTCTCACCTCAGACTAGACTAGCCTATTTGGAGTCTCTATGACCACGGAGACAAACCTTATCCTTGTTATTCTCTGCCCAACCTGCTGTGAGCATGCCCAACCTCCTATGGAAAGATCGTGGTAGTGCCCTTCTTGCCTAGTACTCAGGTCTTACATGTGGACGATGCTGGCGTTTGTGAATATGAACAAGGCAAGCAGTCCAACCTGAAAGATTGTGGTCCTCATTACCAGCCGCTACCTAAAATAAAATAACCTGGAATCGTTCTTATTAGGTAACTGGGCACGTTTCCTACTATCCCCAGCACATAAAAACTTGAGGACTACCTTCTCCAGATGGGATCCGTCCTGGTACTGAATGTCCATATTACACTCAGTACAGTGGGAAAAATTCCCTTCTATCCTCATTGTCTTATCCTGCTAGGTAACTGCTCTGCACCATCGCAGCTCTCAGAGAGAGGCGCAGAATGCAGGTGAGACCACTAAATTATCATTGAAAAGAGAAATATATGTGGAGGAAGAGCTCTACTGTGAAATTCATATAAATATTAATCAACTTTTGACATGCAGGAAAGTAAAGGAGGTAAATGGTCCTTAAAAATCAAAACTAAAACATCAAATTGCATGCAATAGTTTCTCCTGTATTTTTTTTAGAGGAAGGAGGGAGGGGTTTGCCTGAAATATGTGTCTGGTGATACATATATTTAAATATATTTGCTAGAATTTCTATTTTTAACCTCTCAATGTAGGTTAAAGCTGTATATTTTCTCACTCTTTAACAGCTGTTAAATGAATCTGTTCTCAAACACTAAAGATAATGATTTTAGAGTACAGAACAAAAGTGTTTCTGTCAGTTACTCTCTGAATATTAATGCATGAAGCTTATTACTAGAATGCATGATTAAAACAGCATATTTTAATAACTACCAAAAGTGTAAAAGTTATGTTCATATGTCTGTTTGTATAAATTTATGTTTATTCAACAGAGAGAATATTTCTACATACAGACAGAGAAATTAAAATAAAAATTTCTTTCTACAAACACAACTCCCTTAATATTAAAGTAACTAAATACATAAAAACAGTAGTTTCTTAATTACAGAATTCATAAAAATCTCTGGAATATCTGTTTTTAAAATTATAGTTTTGCACCCTCTGCACATGTACCCCAGAAATTAAAATATAATTTTAAAAATGAAAAGGAAAAAAATGCAGTTTTGGAGACACCTGAAATTCTGATTTAATCAGTCTTAGTAGGGGCTCAGAAATCTGTATTTTAAATAAGCATTTTTGGTAATTTTAATGCAGGTAATCTGTGTGTCATTTTTAGAAAAACATTGATCTAAAATTACATATTTGATTAATTTACTTTTTGCGTGCATGTTTGTGGGTGTGTATATGTGTCACAGCCAAGTATTTTAAAGTGAATGAAGATGAAAATGTGAAAATGTACAGAGGTGTTGTTAACCACAAGAACTGAGAGCTTTGATAAAAGAGGCTCACAAATGTAGAATTCAGCCATTTTTCAATGAATTTCAAGGTGACATATGATTTTTTTTCTTTAATAAGAAACCAGAAAGGCCCAAGGAAAGGAAAAATATGCCAGGCAAATACATAGGGCTAAAGTCTATAGGGAAGATGAAACCCACTGAAAGTGGATCTCACAGAAGCATGGGAGTTGGAGCACATGGCCAGCATAGATGTGAAATTAACCTTCAAGGGAGAATTACTCTGAGAATACAGTTTCTGAAAATTGAATTTTCTTCAGATTCAGAAGCCACAAATATTATATTTCTTGCTAAATATAATCATACAGGCAAAATATTGCTACATACCTAAGCAAAACAAAGATATGCTCTCAAAAGAGAAAACAGAAAAAAAGAAACTGATCAGAAGTGTTAGCCCTAAGAACAGATCAATTTAAGAAACAAGTTGTTATTGTTTTTTTAATGTAATAGACTTGAAGAATGGGGTAGAAGAATGCTGGAGAGTTTATAAAACTTATACAGTAAAAAAGTTACAGTAAGCCAAAATTAATTTATTATTGAAGACAGAAAACTTTTTAAGGCCAGGTGCAGAGGCTCATGCCTGTAATCCCAACATTTTGAGGGACTATGGTGTGAGGATGGCTTGAGTGTAGGAATTCAAGACCAGCCTTTACAACATGGAAGACCTCATTTCTACAAAAAAATTAAAAAATTAGCCAAGCATGGTGGGATGAGCCTACTTGGTAGTCTGAGATGGGAGGATCACTTGATTCTAGGAGGTTGAGGCTACAGTGAGCCATGATTGTGTCACTGCACTCCAGCCTGGGCAACAGCAAGATACTGTCTCAAAGAATAAAAGTAAATAAAAACAAATACATAAAAATTCATTTAGTATAACCTGAATACACAGTGTTTATAAAGTCTACAGTAGTGTACAGTAATGTCCTTGGCCTTCACATTCTCTTACTACTTACTGGCTGACTCGCCCAGGGCAGTATTTCTTCTGTTTGTGACCTTTCTCACCTATCAAGCCTCAGAATCTTCTCCATTCAGTTAGTGAATATAGAAAGAGGGAGAGTGAAGGATTGTACAGGAAGCTTTTATAGGACAAGCTAAGCAGAGGCATGCACCACTTCTGACCAAAACATTCATCGCATTACCCAAGTTGGATGCTGGAGGAACCAAGAAACATAGTCCTTGGCTAAGCATCTTTTTATCCCAGCAACAGCTCTTTATCATTGAGGGAGAGCACAAAACTTTGGTCTGCAAATAGTTATCTCACTGGCATGGATAGACTTTTCAGGATAGCAAGCCTGAAACCAAGATTTTTGTTTTTCCTCTTTCCTGCTTTCTCTATCAGCCCTTTTCTCCAAATACACTAATCTCTGGGCAGATGTTTCCTAGTAGTTAAAAATGTGAGTCAGCATAAAATTGTGATCTGTATAGGGTTACATGAATGTTTTGCTTGGGGGATGTTATCATATTGTATCACCCTTAATTGATAACATTTGTTTTCAGAGATTTATTTTTGTTTTCTAAATTTTAGAACTTTGAAAACATAGAACACATCCACTCTGGAAAGTAATGAATTAAATAAACAACCCTGAAGAGCCTATACATGGTATTTCAAGTCCACGGAAAGACAGCTAAGGATATTCCTAGAATAAGGCCTGTCCAGTTATCTTCAATCTGAGGAAGAAGGAAAAAGAAAGATTTGATGACTAACTTTTCTAGAAAAACAGAATAGAAGGGCTTATCAACTGGGCCTATTTTATTTGGACTTCATTATTAGCATTTTGATTATCTATTGTAAAAAAAATATAGGAATTCACCTGGGGTTCTCTACTTTATGGAACTTTAAATTACTTGAAGCAACATGGAATTGATTTAATAATGGGAGGGGATTTCTATTATTCAATAGCTATTATAACATGCACATAGAATTAATTGGGATATACATATCATATAACTTTATCTGCCAAACTCTATTGAGCACTATTACTCAGCATAATTTCAAGTGGAAAAATGAAGGGCAAGACAGTGGAGGTAATGGTAACCTTTTGGCCTATCGAGAGTGTGGTCTCGGAGTAAACTTAATATCCTGGCTTTACCTGTTCTAGTAGCTTTAGGGTGCTTTGAGGAACCGAAATGTCCAGGAGCAGCACAGAAGTAGTATTAAAGACTAAACAGATAAATATGCAAACTGGATTTTATATATACACATACACATTTCTTATATATAAGATAGAGATACAGTTACAAATATATAAACATACATATATTACATATTCTTTTTCAAGTATTGAGTGATATAGATTCAAAGAATAAAAGTCTGTGTAAACACTGGCATAATCAGTTGCCCAGCTATGTATGCACCTGGCAGTCAGGTGACCCTCTGAAGCAGCATTGTGAGCAGAATGTCTTCAATAGATGGCACAGGTAATATTACAGAAAAATAATGCATAAGAAATCACTTCGTATGGCTAGGTACAAATCTATAGGATGAAGTAGAGAAGCACCTTTTTCAGTGGTGGGAAGGAGGGGATATGCAGACATCAGTAGAGAGTCTCCTTCCTTCTTTATTAAGCAGCTAAGTTTACTTGTGTATTCTAGAACATCAACAAAGCAATATCTCTTAATTTTTAACAAACTCTGTCGCAGCAGTAATATCTGAAATTGGTGCAAGTTCTATAAATTCCAATTTCTGTTTACACAGTCTTTTTACCCGAGAGACAATATAATATGCTGCTTAAGAGAGCTTAAGAGTCAGACACAGACTTTATCCCTTACTCCATCAGGCAGGTAAATTTTGTGACCTCTAGGAGTCTACTTCTTTCATAGTAAAAAGATGAAACACATCTACTTCACATGGCTGTTCTATTGATTGAATTAATGAATCAAGAAACACAAAGTAGTTTTGCTCAATAAAAGTTAGTAATTATTGCACTGTTAATTATTCCAAGGTAATTCAAGTTGCCGGCCTGTCTGTTACCCATGTCCCCTATCTTTCCAAGCACAGACATATGAGGATATACTGCAAGACAAAAATCATGGAGAATCAACTGATACATTTAGTGCTTATATGATTATTTAGTGCTGATTATTTAGTGCTTATGTGCTGAAATATAAGCACTAAATAATCATGTAATTAAATCATTAAATCATAAAATAGCGTAATCATTTTTATGCTGAAAGTGAACAGGAGTTTTGTGGGACAGAGATCGGTTACTCTAACTGATAACCACCACGTTACTTTCCAGCGCTTCGTGCTCCCCAGGTGAAAAAATGAGTGCCCGAGTCAGGCCTGCACATACGGGGTCTGTTCTGCAGGAGAAATACCCTGAAATTAAATTCTGGTGTTCATGCAGTTTACATGCTGCCCCTCTCCTCCTGAGAGAGGGAGTAAAACCTTTCTTCTCTAGTAATTTGCATTCCATTGCAATGTAAATGAATGGCTGCCGGACTCCAAGTTTCACTTCCCTTTCAAATGTAAACACTGGGGGAAATTGCTCTCTTAGGTGTCTAGCTTTTCAACTACCCCTTAACTTCCAAGGCTCTTCCTTTAATCCAGGTGTAGGCAACATTTTCTCAGACAACCCTACGTAGAAATGTTAAAATATTCACTTGCTGACAATAATCATTTTTTTATAAAATGGCTAGCCATTCACATGATAATCTAAAATTCATCCCTTCCACTTTGCCAACATTGCTCTGACTGAAACTGGGCCTATGAGCACTTTTTATCTTTGTTTACTTGATTTCAGTGTTGTCCTCCAGGTACCACAAGCTGTAAAGTCATGGACTATTTCCCAAAACTCATGTATTCAGTGTCCTCTTTTAGTAAATAACATCATAATCCACCCAGGTGCTCAAACTCGAAATATGGATGTTACATTGGTACCAACTTCTTCCTCACTACCACTAAAACATCTATTCCCGTTGGTTGCCACGATACCTCGTCATCTCCATCCAAGCCACCAACATCTCTAACGTGATTATGGCAGTAGCATCTCAACTGGCTCATTACTTTTATCCCTATTCCTGAAACCATTCTGCAATCCAAGTAATCTTAATGTCAGGTAATTTTAGACTTGTTATCCCCCTACTTAAGACATTTCGTGGCATCCCATTGCTTTCAGGAGCTTATCTCATTGTCAGACGCACAAGTGCGGCTCCTTGAGAGATGGATAAAATTGAGATACAACATCTCATCATCTTTCCTGACATTCGTACTCCATCTTTGTTGACTTAGGTCTGTGCCACATTGGCCCTAACATAAATTTCAGCCTTTTATTTAGATTTGGTACCTAAATTTCCCTCCCAATAACCAGCGAGAGGTAATACAACAGGATAAACAAGAGCAGACGTTCTAGAAACAGACATCCGGAATTTAAATTTGTCTCTCTACTTTCCACAAGTATGACTTTGTACAAATTTATTTAACCTTACTGTGTCACAGTATCCTCATCTGTAAATGAAGATAACGATAGACCTTAGTCATAGGTTTGCTATGACGATTAAGTAAATTAGTGCATGCAAAGCATTCAGAATATGTTTTGGCACATACTAAATATTAAATAACTGTCAGTTATTTTGTTTATTGTCATATCTTACAAAGAGACACCTTCTGCTTGGAATGTGATGCTGGTCTTATGTCTGGGGCTATGAGAATTGGCCTGAAGCCAGTAGTAATTCACAGCTTGAAGTTTCTGAGATCAGCTAGGTGGTGGAACAGCCAGAGACTGACTTTGCCCAGCAGACCTTGGCACTGAAGGCTCAGTTTGTGGATACCAGATTAGCATCTGTGGCATGGGGGCCTGCCCAGTGCTGCATTTTACTGCAGTGGGATCAGTGTTGGGATACAACACAAAGTTTATTTCTTATTTTGCCACATGGAAGGTATGTACCTTCCCACTGTGCTATGTGGGTTGCAGGGAAGGGTGAGAGGGATAATGTAAAACTGTCCCTTCCTACAATCTCAAATGCATGTTTTCTTATTTCAATGCTACACCCAGATGCTGTAACCCTCACCTTGTTTCTTTAGTGCCTGTAAAGTTATTTTTGTGCATGGATAGCTGTTTGAATTGATGTTTATCTAGGGAATGAGCATTGGAAAGCCCTATTCCACTATCTTGTTGACACCCACACTTTACTATTTAAAATATTTAGATATAGGACAGCATGTAGGTATCCATTTGTACTCTCGATCTGGGACCTGCAAATGTTAGGCTCCTCTTGTTCTTAAGCATGAGCCCCACAACACTTAACTCTTAGGAGCAGTAGGGAGACTTGCTTTCTACCCCCAAGAACTTTTTAAATTTTAATTTGCATATTCATTTCAAACAAGAACATTGTTGTGCCTACTAGGATTCCTGGTATTAGCTTTTAAGTAATAAGCTATTTTACAACATATTTATGCAATGAAGACTTGAAATTGAAACATGGGCTATAAAGCTCAATGTATCTTGCTACCTATACTATTTACCAACCTGTCGTTGCATAACCTGGTTTTTACTAGACAGGTCATATTGTACATTTCTCAGTTCCTTTGACAGGGCATGCTTTCGCCCACCTCACGGTTTTTGACTATACTGTCATTTCTATTTAAAGTGCCACTCCCTCCTTTGTTTATCTTAGCTATCCACCCATCCTTAAGGTCTTTGCTTAAATATAATCCTCTTAAAGAAATCCTCTGTGGGTAGGTTAAGACTCCTTCTTGTTTCCTTCTCCCTTGTTCCTTATATTCCCAATAAACTTAACCCCACAATTAATTGCTGTCTGCTCCTTCCACTATGAGTAAATCCACATCTGTATGTATATCCATTTATTTCTAGTTCCTAGAGCAATGCTTGCCACATAAGAAGCCTTCAATAAATATGTGTTGACAGACCTGCTAGTAATTCAATGTCTTGCAAATTTATATAACAGTGACCATATCTCTATAGTAATATGTGAAAGGCTGGTGTGCAGAACTCTTTATCAAGAATTATATGCTTCAACTCTGAAATTTTTTGTTAAGTCATTCCATGCAAGCAACAAGTTATTATTTCATAATTTTAAACTCATGAAGCCCTGCAGCGAGTTTGTTTCACAATATTATCTTCACTTCAAGACAGTTTTGACTTTCTCATCTCCAGTGTTTCAATACCATGTGTTTGCGCATTTAAAAAAAAAAAAATTGTTATTCAAAGACACACTGTGGGACTGGAGACCAAATCTGTCCTTTCTATATTATCTTTCACTGATTTTAGCTCCAAGTATTATTTCATGTACATGAATAGTACATGAATGAATAATTTCCTTCAAATGTGTGATCCATTTTGCATAATATTCATACTGAGTTAAAATAAAATCATGTTTCCAAGGAGTTTAATCGGTGGCTAAAATATAATTGGCTAAATTTGCTGGCATCAGTATCCCAGGAATGTCTGCCCCATCTGTGGGGAATGAAGCTTTTAAGTGTATGAGTTCCTAGGTGGCCTACCTTTTTTTTGCAAAGCACTAACATCTTGCATCCACTGGTGCATTAAGGAGAAAGGGCTTAAGTGTATGTTAACATGGTTAAAACTTGTAGTTCAAGA